TCTCTCTATGACCTTCTAAAAGATCGTGCCCTGACTAGAGCTGCAGTAAGTTCTACACTAGAATGTGTATCTAAAGCTGCACTAGCAGGCTCCTACCAGATTTGGCAGCGCAGGAAGAGTGTGACGTACGTTTGTAAGGAGCTCCATAAACCTACACCTACAAGTCCTGGGAACTGCTCGGAGTTTCCCGCTCTCTGAATTCATGGAATGCTCAGAACTTTGTCTGTCTCTCTCTATCACTTGTTTAGTGCAAACTCTGCTTAGCTTGGGACTAGATGGCGCGGTTTTGAATTGTCATGTGTTATTTTATAGGTTTGAGGACGTCGGTGTATTGGTTCGTGGGTTCTATTCTTTGCACTATACACACTTGTATTTATAATACTTGTAATGTATATGAGCACATCTTAGTCATCTGATATATAGATGATGTCCATAGATATTTTTGTATGTAGCTAACAGTTAACACTTACACGAGCCTTCAATAAACTCAATAAAAAAAATAGGTTTGACGTTATAGGTTCTTTTATGAATGATAATGAAATAACAGCTGGCGGGACACCAGCGGAGGCTGATAAGATGAACATGAGATCAGATCAGTTAACCCATTGTGGTAAATTCACCATGGATTTATGACAATGGTTTCCCAGGGATCACGAGGTCAACATGATTGCAATGGGGTTTTTTTTAAAGGATGATAATGAATTGGTAAACCCACCTGCGCTAACGTTTACGCTGGCGCAGCAACAGTGAGGATGTGTAAGATGAGCATGAGGTTGCAATGGGGTTATTAGTGGAGGTCGATCTGACATGGTACATTGCTAGAATTCATTAGGACGTCAGGGTGTAGAAGATTGCTTGCGCATTCCCATAACTCTGACAAATGGTTAAAAGATCCTTCTTTTAAGTTTTTTTAAGTGTTCCTACACTTTGGGGAAAACCCCAAACCCCAACCCCAACTGCCGTCTACCTTCCACGGGGCGGGAGGCTTCATAAGGATTTTCCCCAAGTAAAAAGTCCTCATTATTCATAATCTTTGAAGTATGCCCCATGGTTTGAAGTAGGTTGTAACTATAAATAAGAGGTTTAGTTTATCATCTGAAGTGAAACGTATAAAAATATACTCTTTGTACTTTAGAACAAGGGTCAAAGTATATCTGAATCTCTAGAGGCGCGATTCAAGGTCGACCTTTGATAATACAATGACAGATAAGACAGATAATCCTACACCATATACTGTAACATTTGAGAGATTGCGAATAAAAATAAAAGAAGAAAAAATATATAAAAAGTATTCACTGGTATTTATTTACTATAATGCACTTAAAAAAAAGAGTTTAGCCCTATGGGATGGCAGGTAACTGCATCAGGGGTGTCATGGTTGCCAAGAGAAAAAGGAAACGCCACTACATATCTTATGTGGTTGTAGCCCACTCATGCGTAAATGAAATATCTCCTTTGGAAAGTACACTCTATCCTGAGAAGATAAAAACCATCACTCCTTTGAATATCCTTCAATTCTTGTCCCTGGCGGGTCTAAGTAGCGAACCCTGAAAAAGAGCGAGCACAATAGATCTCTAGACAGTGCTAAGGTCTAGAACACAGAGTAATAGCCCAAATAATAAAAAAAAATGTTTGTCAAAATTTTCTGTGGATCATGTGAGGTGTTTAGCCAATAATTATTACGTGCTTTACCCTTGCCTTGCCCTTCTGTTCGATTCGCCAGTCAACCTAAACGGGACTCGAAATTACGACAACCACAGAGCCGAATGTGGAACCCCTAGACCCCGGGGGAAGGGGATCCCCATTGCTTTTCCACGCGGTTCCCCCTGGAAACCATCGTGTTAAATTCTGATGAGACTTTTCATGCTCATCTTATCATCCTTAACTGGTGCCCCGCTAGCGTAAACCGTTAGATTTTTGGAAGACGGAACGATATGGGGTGAGTGCAGATAGCTGACGGATACGGATACGCCTATTCCAAAAGTCCTTCCGCGGGTTTGGAGTGCTATCTGCACTCGCCCCATATCGTTCGGTGAAGCTGTAAAAGCCATCTGCGGTCAATAGCATTAGAATAGTTCGCTTCGCACGATGCTAACATTTGTATTCCTGAATATGATTGTTTGTATTGATCTGGGTGTCTTCTATGTATATTAAGTATGTATATAAAAAAATGTAAGTATTTATACCAATTGTCCAGTACTCATAACACAAGCACTGCTTAGCTTGAGACTAGATGGAGCTGTATAAATTGTCTAGGGTTATTAAAAACAATGTTATTAAAAAAATAGTAATTATAAATTGTAATTAGAATGGCAACACGGCAGCTTCTATAAGGTAGGTAACGGTGTAGCCACCGTAGACATAAATTAGGTACTAATTAAACCTGAGGACTATGGTATTATACCTACGTACATTGGAATTGCCTCATTTTATTCTTGAAATCAGTACATACAGCTGTCAGATATATTCAGTCAGTTTCGTCTATTAAATATCATTTAAAAAAATATTTACTTCAAGTACAAAAATCTTAAACGTGGCAGATAGATGCAGTAGTCATTGTTATAATACATGCGTGTTATGGAATAGAACATGCCGAGAAATTCAAAGATTTGTAATGCATCTGTGCGAAGTCGGGATGGATCCTTAGCTAGCAATAGAGCTAAGTGATGTACTATATATATTTTGTTTTAGTGAAATGAGATGAGTGAAATGAGTTGATAAAACTCTTACAGAATACCAATCCAGAACTTACCACCAGTCCACTATTACCACGCTGGCTAAAGTTGACATAGTCGTAATATAAGTAATTTAATTTCAAAATAGTGTATTTATTTATTTAACTTCAATGCACATAATACAAAGTATAGTACAGTACATTTGGCAGACTTAGCACCATGCAGCATTTTCTACCAGTCAACCACAGGTGGTGCAAAGAATGATTGTTGGTGGTGCAAATATAATAAATGATAAACAAAATGCAATAAAATATGGTGTATTACGTGATTTCTTTTTTATCTTAAATCTTCTAGAAAAGAAGAAAGAACTTCTAGATTATACTATGTGAGTATATCTATATACTTTATCTTTACTTTCTTTATCTACCCAAAGGTAGTCTGAAAGAGATTGCTTAGTGATAAGTATTTCATGTATATTTATTATTTTAATTATTTTATGTATTTGGTGCATTAAGGAGTATAAATAAAAAAAATATACCAACATTATTAGTCACGCAATGAACATGCGAACTATATGCATTCGAAATTTAAAGATCAACACAAAAATATAAATTTGCTTATCGCCTGCCAGTACGTACATACAAGAAAAAAAAATTACACAGCCATATAGATATAAAACCATGTTAATCCAGTAAAATTTTAAATTAAACCTAGATGTGACTAGTTACGGCGCAATATATAAAAATAAGTTAGCAATTATCAAACCTTTTTTTTTTAATTTTTCATCCCATTTCTAAATTATTATTCAATTACAGATAAAAAATATAAAATATAACGCAGAAGCTAAGCATTAGGACAACAGATGAATATAAAAAAAATAATGTTACTATCGAAACTGACAATTCGATAAAAAGACATATTCCATTTTCAAATCAACCAAACTTACCATAAATATTGCTAGATCTATGACGTGTTGCATTATAACGTAATTCGAATAAAAGAAAATTAAAAAAATACATGATAACGTAAAGTATTTATTACGTTATACTAACAATAGACTATATAAAGCTATCAATTAATCTCTAGATTTGATTAAATAACACGCTTCGGTTGCATGATTTCTATTCATCGATTGTTTTCAAATTAATTATCTATTACGATAGTAAATATATATAAACATGCATTTACTCGCGACTATGTATATGTATTTTTTATACTATACTACTATATTATATGCGGTCGCTCTAAAATGGTTGAGTGCAATGTGTCCGTCATACTCGTGAACGGATGCTGCTTGTGGGGACTGCTCTGTTCGGGTTACGAACACTCATTAGACTATTTGCTTTTGACCAAATTACTATAGCATGTACTGGTGGTCACTCTATTCTCCCAAATTTGAATTTAAAAATGTATCTGTATTATTGTAAACATGTACAACTTTTATTTGAAAAGAATACGAGCTGAGTTTCTTGTCAGTTCTTCTCATCTCGTAATCATTCCGAACTGCCGGTAGATTTGATATATCATTAGAGTCTGTAATAGACCTATATGAATAAAGATATATTGTTTTATTTTTTGACCACAAACAAGCATACGGCCCATCTGTTGGTAAACGGTTACCGTAGCCTATGGACGCCTGAAACACCAGGGATGTAAAGTGCGCGTTGCCGACCCTTAAGAAACCTTAATATCCTATCTTTCTTGAAAAGACTCTCAAGAAAACCTCAGCGGGTAGTTCATATATATGCTTTGTTGCACATGTCATTATTTTATATAATACATTATAAATATTGAATGCCAATTTTTTTCATGACAATCAATATTTCTTTTTAAGACAAATTAAAATTCAAAAAAATTAAAAAAATTAAAATACAAAAATCAATTTATGTAATACGTCACTTATTATATTTTAGATATAATATCACGTCTCATTGAATATTGTATAATGTCAGAATGACCTATACACGGTTCCCCCTGAAACCGTCGTGGTAACTTGCCATTTGCCAAGATGTCTAACTGACCTGATTTCATGCTCATTTTATCATCCACCACTAGTGCCTCAGCAAGGTATCATATTATCATCCATAAAAAATACTAATTAGTACTGTAAAAACGAGAAACGCTACAGACAAACAAACAAACTGTTCTCATTAGTTATAATACAATTTTACGTCATATTGAATGGCGATACTGAAAATCGCTATAACGAATAATGTTATCATGATATAAGGCGTAATCAGCCGTTGAAGATGCAACAGTGCAGAGCTGAGCTCACCACAAAGCTGCTCTGTTATTGTTCTGTCCCGCACACAACCGTGTCGCTCGGCCTACGAGGAAGTCGCCTCTTATTTTTTTTTATATTTCGCGACAGTGCGCATTAAAAAAAATGAGGTTGCTAATAAATACAGTGATTTGTTTTCTGTGGTGCACGATGTCACTGGCCAGTGTAAGTTTAAAAAGTATAATAAAATGTAAATATGAAAATACCCGCGAGACTATAGAATGAATTTGTTGTTGTATGATTATGTGAACCGAAGATAGTGGCTGTATGGGCTGAGTCCTTTTGACTTTCCCTGTGATGGGAAAAAGCAAAAAAAAATTCGTGATTTTTTTTTATTAACTCCATTACAGGTACATGTATTTATTTACTCATTGAATGTATAGACAAGTAGGAAATAAAATAAAAAAAGTGGAATTAAGCATGTTTAAAATATTATAATTACCTATATTGTTTGTTTTTCTATCACTAATTTAAAAGTGATCGGATTATCGAGTTATCGGATTTAGTAGAATCTATTTCTTGTTTTGTTTAATAACCGCAATTTCACAAAATTACAATTAGTACATATTTTTGCGTAAATAAACATTATGCCTAAAAATATAATTAAAACTTAACAAGTAATTACATAGGACAAAAGGAAGTCTTGGTAAATATAAAAAAAAACCTCTTCGGTTCTAAATCCACCTGTAAAAAGATATAAATGTCGTATAAAACAATTCCTTTGTAAAAAAGATTACTATAAAATTTACAAGTTCGTTAACGATAATAATGTTTTTGTAGAAATACTTAATATCCATAGCGCTGACAATATTATCTGATTGCACTAAGAATGAGTGCGTAGCGGTTTCTATGTTGCCTCTTACTTCTTATTGTGTAATTATTCATATAAAAAAAATACATCTATTCAAAAGAACAACAGACAAGTTTCTTGCTCATTCTTCTTGTGTTGATTCTGCGTTTCGAATGAGTGGTAGAATCAAAAATATGACTATTCAAAAGTGTTTATATTGAGTTTATTTGAATAAAGATTATTTCTATTTCTTCTCTCTCTTAAAATGAATAAAATTCAAATACTTCTTCGAAACGGCTTAATCGATTTTGATGGAATTTTATATATTTACTCGCTAGGTCAGGGAACAGCTTGTTATCTATTTTTACCTCGAATTTTTTTTTTTGACACCAATCTTTTTTTTTTTTTGATGTGGTAATAATAAAAAACACTCCTAATACTTTTCACCATTCTATCACCAACCACAAATTTTTTGTAGCAACATGAATATATACGATAAAACAACGTTTGCCGGGACAGTTAGTATATCTATATAAAACTCACAAACCCGGGCGAAACCACAAGGACCACTAGTTTAAAAGAAAAGACAAAAGTAATAATATTAATAACCCTGGACAATTCCTACAACGCCATCTAGTCTCAAGATAAGCAAAGCTTGTGTTATGGGTACTAGACAACAGATCATCATCGCGGCCCGGAAGACGTCTACTACTGGACATAGGCCACCCCCAAAGTTCTCCACTCCAGGATCTTGACCAGATCGTCGGTCCACCTTGCTGGAGGCCTTCCCACGCTGCGTCTAAACGTCGTCGTAAACATTGATAGCACCTACATACCACATACAAACAATCGTATTCATGAATACAAACGTGTGTACCCTGCAAAGAATTGAATCTATGACCATCGGAAGGAAGTCAGTGTTATAAAACCGCTACCGCCGTCAAAATTAAATTAAATTAAATTTAATAGTCCAAAAGTTTTGTAGATGGGTTTTAGTTTTTATGACTAATGCGATAATATGGTAGTCACAAACAGACAGATGTTTTGTTTTCATGCTTATATTAGTAATTTGAGGAAAAGTTGACAAAACTGTAACATAAAGGTGTACACGTAGACACCAAATAGTATTTCACGTAACAAAACCACATTACGCATTATATTATATCTTATTAATATTAGGTCCTTACATATAAAATTGGCGTTATGTCGTACTGGCCACTTTGATCTCAAATATCTCCTCTTTGGTTAGAAATTCCAATTTCAAATTTATACAGCTATTTACTCATGTGTTTTTTTTTCGAAAATCCATAGATATGTTTTTTCCATCTTTCTTTTTTATTTTGCATCATTCAGTTTACAAAAAAGGTTACCTGTATTTTTCTATATACATATACACATGCCGTCGCGACATTTTTTGTAGATTATTATGTGTTCTACAAAATCGTAGTACATCATTTTGTTCATACATCTTTTTGCAGCGCACGCGGTGTTAGGTTTTTTTATGTAATATTTTTACACCTTGGGTCACATTATTAGTCTTTTAGTAAGGATCCCAATTTTTTTTGATATTACAATATAGCCTATGTCATTCAGGGAAAGTGTAGCTTCCTAATGGTGAAAGAATTTTTCAAATCGGTCCAGTAGTTTCAGAGCCTATTTCAATACAAACATACACATAAAAAAATACAAATCTGTCCTCTTTATAATATTAGTATAGATATATTTTATTTATTATATAGTTTACGTGGCAAATAAGTCTAATAGTATATTTATAACCCAATCGGTAAACCAGTACAGTCATCCAATTTTTAAAGTGGGTCCATGTGATTAAAAAACAATTTTATACCTACCTATATACCAGAACCCAGTTACGTAATAATTTGCAATACCAACACATCCATAATTCATAATTGTAAAGGAAACCATTTTTTTTAAGTTATTGTATGGTAATTATTCTTCTATTTAGATGGTGTTATTTTTTATTCTAAATACGTCAATATACAAACGACGTAATGCACTTACCATGTTGTGTATTTTAAATACAATCGTGACTCCTTACCTTATAGTTTCTCTGCCTTACCTCCCGTCCTTCACCCGAAAACATGCAAAACAAGCGGCTGAAAAGGCGAGACTTACGTAGGCGACTTTATGCAAAGTTCAGTCTGAAAGAAAAAACCCCTCCGATCGATCCAATCAAATCGCTGACCAATTCAAACGGGGATCGAAATTACGGCGACCTCAATATATACAGACTTCCTTCAGATGTCTTCTTACTGTCCACTCGCTGACAGCTACACCTCGAACACGTCTATACTCGCCCTGCACGTCGATACCCGGGGTAAGCACCCGAAGTTGCTGCTGTTGATTTCGTAGGAATGTTGAGACAATGAAATGGTCGTCTCGTTCAGAAGTACAACGGTGGACGCTGGTTGTTGGTCTCCGAGTGAATGCTCCAGTCTCTTGATATCCTCTGTATAATCGGGATACAGCAGACTGACTCAAGTGTAGCTGGGAAGCGACTACTCGCTGACTGAATCCTTGTTGCAAAAAAGCAACAACTTGAGCGGCTTCTTGAGGTGTGGTGTTCGTGGTTTCTTGAAAACAATGAATGCAGGTTGCGGAGACGTGTATCGGTCAACTCTTGATAAGGGTTGAAGGGTCATGGGGGTTTTTATAGGGGTAGAGGGGCGTAACTTGCAGGTAACGTAGTGAGTAATTTGTCCCATATGCCCTAATTACGGAAATGAACATGTTGGTACTTGTTTTATTTAATGGTGTTGATGTTTTTTTAAAGCTTAGGTTTCAAGCTTTCAAATGATATATTATTTTTATTTAAATAATGCATACTTTTATTTAGAACAATGTTTGAATGTAGAGGTAGCACTTGAGTCGATTTGGTTGCTCGCGAGTGTATGTACCTAGGCTATATAATATCACGCTACGACAGATAGGAGCAGAACATCAATAAAAAGTCATTGACACAGTTGCAGTTTGATAAAAGTCATTAAACTACAATTATTGCATACAATAATATCTCATGTAGGTCATTGATAATCATTCGGTGTCAATAAACGTACCTTGCTTTACTGGTACACAAGAGAAACAAAATACATAATCGCATCATCTAAATAGCATATATCTTTAGCTCATTCATCAACAATCAAACACGGTATAGAAAATTAAAAAAATATACGTGACACTGGATTTATAATGAATTTTAAGAATAACGGAAAAAATCCTTCATATTTACTGTAATAATAGAATAAAGCCTAGTAGAGCGAAACGTAAATATTTACGGTAAAATTTCGATTGAAAATATTGCTATCTTGCTTGGTTCAGGGGAGACGTAAGGTCTCTGAATAGAGACAGAACGAATACTGAAGAATAACTACATCGTAATTTTATAGAGTGGACACCACTTCTCTTTGATGCTGAAAATTGTAATATGTTTTTATTTTAAAAAAAATTGCGTTCTGTTAACCACATCATCATTGCCCTTGCTGTTGCGGGTGTTCATGGGCGGCGGTAATCACTTACCATCAAGTGAGCCGCATGCTCGTTTGTCCCCAGTGCTATAAAAAAAACATTTCAATCCGTATCTGTCCAGTATTGGACATAGGCCTTTCCTAATTCGTTACACCATGTGCAATCTTCCGCCTTCGGAATACATCCATTTCCGACCATCTTCTTGATGTCATTGGTCCACCTTGCTGGAGCGCCCGACACTTCGTCGACATATGCAGCCTCCACTCATAAATTGTCTGCCACGTTCATGTAAAGCCGCGGATAGCAATCAGTCTTACAAAAAAGCTACATCCGGTCCGGTGATAAGTAGTTCAATAGTCGCACATATATACAATTATTGAGAGATAATTATTTAGATTAGGCAGCCATTTCATGTGTACTTTGTACACAGTTTTGTACTTTGAGCAGTATTAAATATGCTTAATATTGTTTTGTTTTTTATCATTAACATATTGTCTGCTCACGTAGTACCTACGTAAGTAATGAATCTTCATCTTAGTCGATTCCTCAAGTCAAGGCTCGGGACCATCAGGAATGTTTCTTCCAGCCAATACTCTCCAGGCATCTCTATCCTGCGATCCTATATCTCTTTAAGAATAAACAGAGGGGTGTGGGATGGGGAGTGTTTATAACAAACTAGCTTTTGTCCGCGGCTTCGGTCCCATTAATTTATCCCCTTAGGGGTGGAATTTATCAAAATCCTTTCTTAGAGGATGTCTCAGCCCGATCGGTTTAAAATTGACAGTTTCATACAAACTTTCATCCCCTATTTTATCTCCTTTGAGGTAGAATTAATCAAAATTGTTTCTTAGCGGTTACCTACGTCATAACATCTACCTGTATGCCAAATTTCAGCCCGATCCGTCCAGTGGTTTGGGCTGTGCATTCATAGATCACTATGTCAGTCACCTTTGAGTTATATATATTTAGATAAATCAATAAAAAAATCTGCATTCCTTCAATTTATATAAACTATAAGTGTGCGAAATTTCATACTCCTGCAGAGTATCCCAGAATTTTCGTTAATGGGGGTACAAAGTTTTTGTTTCACATACATACATAGATATAAACAATATGTTATTTGTTGCAGGACACGTACAGAGCAGGTGTCGTCAACTCCGTTCATTCCGATTTAACAGAATATGTGCCATTTATTCAACAAGCAGCTGAATCAGTGAGTACATATTAAAAAACACATAAGACATCCCATGGATCCCCCGTGCAATTCAAACATGTATCGAAATTACGACTTATAAAAGTTGATTCGAATTTAACAATCCTAAACAATATATTCACAATTTTCACCAGTACGTTTTTTTTTTCACAGGATGTAGATTTTTTTTTTTTTTATTAAGTATTTTACGGCCTTGGAAATCTCCTTTCAGCCAAACAATTACATTTAACTATATCTTTAGCATTATAATCTATAGCGTTCTTATTGTATTGTGTATAAACTCGTATAAAAATGGATAACTTTCTGTATTTTGTAGGATAGATGGCAAGAGGCACTTCTTTTTTATTATATAAACTTATTAAGCCATCTATCAAAATAAGTCTCTGCAAACCAAATGCTGGACATTCCATTATAATATGTTGTAGATGACAGTAGTCACAATTTGAAGAAGATCTCAATTTTATTCTATGCAAATGAGCCGGAAACTGCCCATGTCCCATACGAATTCTATTAATCGTTGTAATGTATCTTCTAGATGATTCTTGTAATTTGAAATACAATGGTTTTCCAAAAATTTCTTTCTGTATATCAGCATACCATTTTCCTTTTATCATTTTGGTTTCTGCCCATTTTCTATTCCAATTACTAAACATCCTTCTGTTAATTAATGCATTGTAGTCAGTTATTGGCACTGGCGATAAATCCAAATGACAATCCAGTTCATTAATCTTCATCATTCTGTCTACAACTTTATTTCCAGTAATACCAGCATGAGATGGAACCCACATGAACTTATATAAAATTTCTCTTATTAAGTAAATAAAATTATCTTTGTAGCTTATTTATAATTATCTAAGGATGTCAATACACTTAGAGAATCCGTTATTATTAGAAATCGTCTTGAATTTTCTATGTCTTGTACATATTTAAAGCTTTAAAAATTGCATATGCTTCCGCAGTGAAAACCGATGAATGTTGATCTAGTACATAGCATTGTCCAGTTTTATCAAAATATGCAGTAGAGTCTTCAGATTTCGATCCATCAGTAAATATTTTTCTGTAATCAGGTTTATATGTTTGGGTGTATATTATAAATTCATTATTATCCATCACTCTCTCCTGTACTATTGTAGGTTTTGTAGTTTGAACATCCAGTGAGCCGTAAGACCATTTATCACATTGATACATATTAACAAATTCATTTAATAGTTCATTATCAATTTGTATAATTTTATTATTTTTTAATAACAGGATGTAGACATCCTAGTGTTGCCATCGGCAGAGGAATTATTCTTCGAGACCAGCACCTTCGGTTCGGATATTTATGATGATGTAAGTCCCTAAAATGTTTTGAAATAAATAAATAAATACATGTAAATCTTATATCAAAATAATTTACTTGTTTATTACCATATACAGGTGAAATAATTGTACTATTTATTGTACATTAGTAAGTTTATTTGGTAGTATGCTACAAGGCTTATTAGTAACGCGTACATTCTACGCGGAGTGGTAAAGACTGACTTTACACTGAACTTAAATCAATAATATCTGGGGAGATACTAATAGAAGGGTCTCGAGTGTTGACAGAAATATTACAAGTGTAATACACATAAAACTGTCATCTGTAACTCATACAGCACTATTTAATACCATATTGAGCTGAATTTCTATAATAGTTGCTAGACAACTGATAGATACAAAAAACACTTTTTTTGTTGTAAATAAACACATAATAATCTTTTTAATGTACTATTTGATATGTTCTTTATTCGTAGGGTATATTTTAACATAAAGTAGCCTATTTTCTCGGCTTAATTTTAATCTGTTATCGCCGTTTCTATAACTCAAGAAATCTGATATATACATTAAATGTTTAAGTTTTTATCTACGCCTATAAAATGAGATTTATTCATTATTATTTATTTCTGTCTAATAACTGTTATTATCATTAATACGTGAAGCAAAAACTTTGCACCCAAAACCCTTTGCAAAGGAGTATGAAATATCCAAGATGGACAGACGATCTGGTCAAGATCGCTGGAAGGTATTGGATGCGAGCAGCGCATGACCGATCGTCGTGGAGATCTTTGGGGGAGGCCTATGTCCAGCAGTGGACGTCTTCCGGGCTGCGATGACGATGATGATGATGAAATATCTCACACTTATAGTTTATATACAAAAGAGGGCAAAGTGCTAATATATTTTTTTGAATTAATGCATAAAATTTACATTAAATCAATAAAGAAACATTACACACAATACCATGTATTTTGAAACTGAAGAATACACTTTTGTTTATTGTGATCAAATTGAGAATAAATTACAGTGTAGGCTTGGCGAGTTCCTTGATTATAGAAGTAGTCTTTGACAATGGATTATAGTAATATTGAAACTTATAATTAACTAGTATTTACCCGCGGCTTCGCTCGCGTTTATTTATCCCCTTTTGGGTGGAATTTATCAAAATCCTTTCTTAGGGGATGCCTACGTCTTAGTAGCTTTATGCATGCATAGTCTCTGCCTGATCGGTTTAAAAGTGACAAAGTTTCATACAAACTTTTATCCCCTTGGGGGTAGAATTAATCAAAATCCTTACTTAGCGGATGCCTACGTCATAACATCTACCTGCATGTTTTTTATCACATTTCAGCCCGATCCGACCAGTGGTTTGGGCTGTGCGTTGATATTTAGATAGTAATTATGGTCAAATTTCAAACATCGACCACTAATTATTAATTAATATGTGACACATAAAACCAAATGTATTTCAGGTAGTGAAAACGTTATCAGATGCTACCAAACAGGCTGGATTGTACGTGGTTGCTCATTTGTACGAGACTGTGAGATGTCAAGACAGCAATGAAACTGTTAGGAGCAATCTCGTCTTCGGCAGGGATGGATCTGTTATCTCTGTGTGAGTATTCATTTTTATGGGGAGTACTTACTTATGAAAGTGGAATGTCGAAATCTCATTATCATAAATATTAAAAATAAATTGGTATAACAAACATGTTGATAGAAGATGTTTTTTTTAATGGATGATAATGAAATGGTGCTCCCGCCTGCGCTAACGGTTTACGCTGGCGGGGGCACCGTGGAGGATGATAAGATGACCATGAGGTCATGTCAGTTAGTTCATAGTGACAAATTCACCAGGCATATGTTCATGGTTGTTACCAGGGGACACCGCGTAAAGGTCAACCTGACATGGTCTATTGCTAGCAATGTAGTCAATAGTCCAAATTGCTAACAATCCCCTTTTCCCCTATTGGAAGATGTCAGAAACACCAACATTATATTTAGGCAATTTTTAGTTTACTATACGGAAATACTTTCTCATCTTGTATTGTGACTTTAATGGGATTACACATACCTCCTGCAAATTTAAATATATTATTACTAAAGATCCTATATCAATAAAATTTAAACTGGAAATATATGAAATGAATGGACTGTGTGATAAGAAAGGGAGTAAATAACGAGATGACTGCGAACAGGGATGAATGGAAGAGAAAAACATATTACAGTTACCGACCAAAAATAAATGGGATAAGAAAGAAGCAGATGATGGTGTTGGTAACCGTCAGCTATGTACATGAGTAGCTCTATTACATGTGTGTTCATTCCTGGTAACTAAGATGTCATGCCCTCTGCAAATTTATATATAATTTTTTTCATATAGATATAATTTGCTACTTTTTTTTCTCTTTATTATTTTTTTGGGGTTTTTGTGCACAAAATGTGACGATGACGATCCCGATGGGATACCTATACCAAATAACAAAAATAAACTAATAAACAACATATAATTTGCTACAAAAAACAAAGTTTGCAAAGTGAAGTGCTTATCGGCAGATATACTGATATAGGTGAGATAGAGGTATCCACCAAAATAAATAATATTTTACAAAGTAGGGAAACAGGTATACGACCTATCTGATGGTAAACGGTTACCGTAGCCTATGGACATCTGGGATATTACGTGCTCGTTTCCGCCCCTAAAGATACCAAATAAACCCTTCTTGAAAAACCACAAGTTCTAATATCTTAAAAAATCTCGACATAGTTCATTCCATAATCTAAGTGTACACGGATGAAGCTTCTTTGAAACTGCACTGTCCGAGACCACTTAGATTCCATCGTGTGGGATTATCTGTCGACGGAGAGCGAATAAACGTTTTGCTAGCAGCAAAATTATATTTAAAAAATTTCTTTTCAGTGTTTTCTGTTGGTAATCAGATTGTATGCATTGTATTATAGTTAATAAAGCTAATAATTTCTTATCTCTTCTCTCGTCAACAGTTATAGAAAACCAGTAAATAACGTTTCCAATTGCACTACGGGTTCTACGGATTTTGGCGTCTTCACAACAGACTTTGACGTTACTTTTGGTTCCCTCATGGAGGAAGATCTTGTCCTGAAAAGTCCGGGAGAACTTAAGGGCTTGAAGAACTTCGTAGTGACTGGATCTTGGACTACGCAGATACCATTTTTGAGCGGTAAGGGTTCTGATCTGTTAGAGCGAATTTGTGTTAAAAGGGAGAAGTTGGATCAGTCAGTCCATCGTGCTCAACTTATCAGAAATTAACTAGGATGGTTTCTGAGGAGACCGCATCGAGCTCAACCCATGCTCAGACAATCTTCTTCCCCTGTTACACCAATCTGTTGGCATAACTAACTGAAAGAAAGAAGAAGAAAGAAAATTGTTTGTTTGGTACACAGAAAATAATTTTTAAATTTTAATTTACATTTTTATATTAATAATTACAGCACCAAATAGGTCTCCGATCAGCATATGTCGTGACAGGTTGCCACGACGCTGGTATTCTGCGGATACCTTCATATATAATAAATCTAATAAAATAATAATAATAATACACATACATACATAAATCTAGGCGGATAACACAGAGTAAACATTTACGACATACTACCATATACAACTATATGTCCTTTTCATTATATTATATTAATTATTTTCAGCAAGCAAATTCTCATCATCATGGGCATTCGTGAATAAAGTGAATTTAGTTTCCATCGACGGCATTTCTGATGGCTCAGCTACAAATGGTGATGTGAAGTTTGCTGATCTGGAGAAACATGGTTTACAAGGTCAGTATTTTTTTTTAAAGAAAACTATATGTAAAGAAACAAATTAAGACGTAATTTTTACCGCATCTTGGATTACTGTATTTCTCATTTTCCTTATTACATACCCGTTGTTGTAGCATTTTTCATTGATGATTCCTATTGAACGTGATGTTATATAGCGTAGTTTTTTCCACGATAAATGGTCTATCTAACACTTAAATATTTTTCTAGTCGAATTCCTGACATTAAAAGTTTTCAATCAAAAATTTAAACAATTCAAGTTTACTTATTTCTAAACTTTTGCGTTTGAGTACATTATCAATATAGTTAAACAGCTTTTAACATGAATAATTTAATGGTAAATAAAGATATTTATCTCTCTCGGCGTTTCGACTAGGTTGTCAGCTCATAATCACGGCTAGTGCAAACTAGTCGAAACGTCGTGAGAGGTAAATATCTTTAGTTACCATAAAATTAATTGTTTATTTATTTAAAGTTTAATGTACAAATACATAAATAAAGGTGCATATTGTGGACTTAACACCATAAGACATTTACTCCCAGTCGCTACATTATTATTAAACAGAGATTATTATTTATGAATTGTTTTGTTAAATCCCGTTTAACTAAAATAATAATAGATTTCTTACTCCAAAATATAGAGATAACATATTTGATAACGTGGTAAACATTATACACAGAAAATATTATCAACTAAAAAAATATATGTGGATATTTTTTTGTTGTTAATATTTTCTGAGACTCTTGTTGTTATGCATATAGGCAGCTTATCTGTTCATTTGACACTCAATCACCTACGGCTTAACCTTTTCGTACGATCTGCATATTTATAAATAAACGATAAATTATATTTTTACTCTCAGATTAAAATATAATAATAAATGCATAAGGAATACGTATGTATTCTGCCCATTTTTCTTGTGATGAATCTGCGTTCCAAATGAGTGGTAAAATAAAAAATATGACTATTCAAAAGTGTTTGTATTGAGTTTATTTGAATAAAGATTATTTCTATTTCTATTCTATTCTCTCAATCTTGTCAAACTCTAAAGTAGGATCGATCGATTGATCTATAAAATGGAATTCATGAATACCATTTGACTGAGCCTTTTCGTGCCAATTTGTTAGGTCCGTCTAGATCTGTAAAAGTAGTAACAAGTAGACACTCGTATGTACTAGTTACTAAATACCAATAATCGATGCTATAGTGTAGTTACGTTACTAGTTACTTCATCATCTAGCATCTATCAAATGGTAAAAAGAATTGTATATGTTTAAAAACAAAACAGTAGTTACAAAAAAAATCGAAAACGAATCTTAAGTTTAAATCGATCAAATAGGAAAAAAGAATCGATACGTTAAAAACAGTAGTTACAAAAAAAATCGTATTTTATTAATAACAGTCGATGACCATTACATTCATTGAGTAAACGATAAAGATTTTAATCTAAAAATAGCAAACATAAACAATAATGAGTAATTTTATTTACCTAACATTGAATTTGAAACAGCACAATATTTACGTTTGGTGAAACTGATGACACGGAACACAATCAATTTAATGATGCACGAAGGTCATAAGCTGATTGATTTTATTCGACAAATAAGCTGGAATGTGAATGAAATTATTAGATAGATAGATAATTTACTCACTGAAGTATAAATAATGGTAGATATTATTACGCAATTAATAATACAATTACACAAAAAGAGCAATCGCAATATTGATTTCAATCCAATATATTTTTGTACTGTTCTTGTAATAACTTTATTACAAGAACAGTACAAAAATATATTGGATTGAAATCAATATATTTTTGTACTGTTCTTGTAATAAAGTCTAAATCAATAACAACATCAGATTGAATACACACGTTTCTAGTGAATACAATAGTAGGTAAGGGAGAAGTGAAAAAACTGGTAGGTCTAAAAAAGATATACAATTAAACAAAAATGTTAAAGAATAACAATTACAAACAAAAATTTATATTAATTCTCCAGTACTTACAGAAATATCACATTAGTATTACATATTTTTTGTTATAAAGTAGTATCTGTAGCTTTATTTGTGGCGACATCCTTTCGGCCAATGTTTTATTCCTTAGATTATTTTTCTTTTTGTTACCATTACATAATTATTTAACTATTACATATTTTTTGTTGTAAAGTAATTCTGTAGCTTTATTTGTGGCGACACTCTTTTAGCCTATGTTTTATTCCTCAGATTTTTTCTTTTTTTACCATTACATAATTATTACAGTTATCGAAAATGTAACTTTACCTACATACAAGCAAACAAAGTAATTATGTCCAGGTACAATAAGTGTTAGCATAGATTAGAAACTACACAAATTGACATGGATTCAGTCAAACACATACAATTAGGTTTACAGCATCATTACGCAAGATAGATTAGATTTAGATTACTCAAGATAATGGATAAATTATATTTTAGTGTGTTTCATTCTTGACTTTAATGTCAATTACCTCTATGGCATTTTATAAATTACTATAAAAAACATGTAATTTCATTCAAAGTTTCTAAAATCTGTTACTTATTATTTTCTTAATTCTCTTCTGGTCTCTTTTTGTCTTTAGATGTACATTTTATTTCATTCTGTTCCTTCTTTTTCAATCTAATCCTGTTTAACCTCATTCTAGCTCGTTCTTCTTTCTACACCATAAATTCTATTATGGTGTAAATATTCTTTATTATATCAATTAGTTTCTGTATTTGTGAATTGTTGGTATTAAATAGTTGTTATTTGTATTTGTTTGTATCGGCCTGGGCAATTTCTATGTATAATATGTATGTATTTACGAAAAAAAAATCTATGTATCCGTTATCTAGTGCCCAAAACATAAACTTTAGCTGGCTAACTTGGGTATATAGCGCAGTGTAAATTGTCCTGAGATTTTTATTATTCCACAGTAAAAAAGATATAGTTGTAATATATTGTAGTTTATACATTTGACACATAAAATTCTACCATTTGTGATTCACTCATGTGATTGTACTTATTTACTTTATCGAATGTTTGGTACATATTTGATATCATCAAGATAAAATGGCGCGATCCTGACGCAATCGTATAGAACATGCTACCATGTGTTGATATTGATAACAAGTGCTACACTAGATATCCTTGAACTTAACAATTTAGTTTCTGATACTGAGTATAAACAAATAAATATCTAAGGTGCTATAAACGGAAATACGGAACGGAAATAATCTTAGTAAGATTATAAACGCGAAAATTTGTGAGTATGGATGGATAGGTAGATGGATGTTTGTTAGTCTTTCACGCAAAAACTACTGAACGGATTGTGATGAAAGTTTACTAAGATTATAAACGCGAAAATTTGTGAGTATGGATGGATAGGTAGATGGATGTTTGTTAGTCTTTCACGCAAAAACTACTGAACGGATTGTGAACAAAGCTTACATTAACCTCATCTGCGAAGGAGCCAATTATTGGACTTGGATACTATAAAAAAATATTGGATGTTCCACAGTTGGGCCTAAACCTCTATCTGGGAGAAGTCCTGTAATTGGTCTCACAGATGGGGCATTAATATTATCTTGACAGCTAACAGCTGAATGGGTAATATTATATATATCATAGGTTATAAATTACATGCGTATGAAGCCGCAGTCACACCTAGTAAAATTTATATAACTATGTTTGTTAGGTATAATAGTAACAATAATATGCCATTAAGTACTGAGGAATACTAAATGATGGATACTTACATCATAATTGAGATTATGTAATAGTTTACCTGTTTAATAATATTATTCATTACAGTACCTTCATTTTTTATTGATAACTCTTAGATATCTTATTATATAATACTTATACTATCAGTTATCATTAGAAATAGTTCAAAATCTAGTTCTATGTCACACTGTGACATTATTTACAAACCAACAAACAAATAGTCAATTCTAGCAATTATTCTTTGGGATCCTTCATAAACACACGGAACATCACTTTAGTAATTTTTACAATTGGTCCTGACAGCTAGTCATGTTTAATAGTTAAAATTTTGTGTTTTAATACTAAAAGTGAAATGTGATGCTGTAAAATTTAAGACTCTTTGCTAATAGGGTGCTAGGGATCCTGGAGTTCATGATTTTTACAAGATCTTTCTGATTACTCCAATCTCTCTTAATGCAATTGTAACATTTTGTAGTCCTCCAGTCGTACAGTATTTGTTCTATTACGTTATAAAGCCCTAAATACACAACACTTATATGTAATAGCTATTCTATTGCATATAATAAATATATTTTATGTAAGAAAGAAAATTAAAGTTCCAAATTTAAAAATCATGCATTTTTCAGATGTGAAGTTCAGAGCACCTGTAATACATACCGCGGAACTGCAAGGTTTCCTCGGAGAAGATGCGTCCCAGTACGTCATCAAACCATTGAACTTGGAAGCTAGTAGCCGCGGTTACAAAGATGCTGTATGTCATGGCAGTTTTTGCTGCGAATTCTATGTGAAGACAAGCTTTGCTGGTAAGAATAAAATATCAACCATTTTTTATACTTGGACAAAAGCTCCTAATGGAGACCCACTCGCTACAGGGTAGGCAAGCGAATACTGTGAGACTTCTATAAAATAAATAATATTTGGATTACTGATAAATTTCGCCATCGTACTACCAGAAACTAAAATATCATTCTGATCATCTAGTCAATACGAATGATGGTCCTTTACCGTGGGTTTTCCAGAAAATTGCCACACAATGGTATTTCCGAACCGATACGCAATTGAAATAAATCTTCCAGAAAAGAACTTCTTCCTTTTTAAAAGCACGGCACTGTTCTTGCAACTCTTCTGGTATTACGGGTGCTCATGGGCAATGGTAAACACTAGTTGAGCAGCAAACTCGTTTTTGCGCTATAGTATAAGTTAAATATAATGCGGCACTGTCTTTCCAGGGTACAAAGCCGTTAATGCCAACTACAGCCTAGTTGCGTTTAGTGGCTACCGTCACTTCGGGAGTGGCCACAACATCGGGTTGGAAAGCTGTGCAGTCATCGCCAGCGCTGGACAAGACAAATGCACATGTCCCGTCGGGTGAGTACCTGTTTAATGCTACATCAAAGACTTCATTGTTATATCCAATCATACCAGTACGAGGCATGGGTGTTACTTGATGATGTGATGTCCGCTAATTCATATGAGGGAATTCTGATTGTTTATAATTTAAATTATTATTGATAATAATTTGTTTATTATTAAGTATGTCACTGTACGCGCAAGTTTCTTGCTTATTTTTCTTGTGATGACGTAGTTTCCCAAATAAGTAGATTAAAAAATAAATATTACGATTCAAAAGTGCTACAATATAATTTTTTTTGAACAAAGAATTCTCTATTCTATTCTTGTACACTCACTAAATAGTTGAGTGGATACGTTCATGGTATGTCTACTGTATAATTTTTAGTATTAGATTAATATGGTTTATGTTACATATATATAATGTTATATAATATATATATATATATATTGTAATAGTAATACTATAATATCAGCATGTGTTATGCTCATATTGTAGTATTACTATTACAATATAGGTATGTCAAACTCTTTTCACAAGAATAATTCTCATTTCTTTATTTTAGTTTAGTTAAACGGGTTTTAACACTAATAATTTTATGGTAAATAAAGTTTAAACTGCTCGTACATTTAACTTATCATTAAAAATAATTGAAATTAATAACTATTAAGGCTAATTACAAGATAATGGAATAATTAATAACTATTTATATTATATAAATATTTCTTTCAACAGGAACGAGAATAGCGCGTCCTATCTAAGATTTGATAAAGTAACAGTCGTTGGAAATTTCACTAATGGAAATTCTAACTATCCCATCGTTTTGACTACAAGAGCGCCTCAAGCGAAACATTTATCTTTTGATAGCATATCTATTGACAATACTGAACAGGTTGTTATGGAATTAAAAAATGTCGCAAATGTATTAAGTTTAGGTATTTCCAGCAGAGATTTCTCAAAGGATATCATAAACAGTCTTAGTATTGAGCCAAAATATAAGGATGAGCTAGATATTTATGATTATATTTTCAATGAAGACGTCCAGGAATTCTTTGATTATGTTTGGATTAGGCTGCGGATATTAATTTTCGTTGTATCAATTTATATATTGGAAATGATGTAATTTCTTGTAGGTATTAGGAAATCTGTTGCAATTGTTTCGGTAACCGTATTCCGATTGTAATAAATTAATATTCAATCGTGATGAATATTAAACATTTGAATATTCATGAGTGATTTTTTCAAATTTATATTTACATATTAAACTATTGTTAAACACTTGAATATTCCCATACGATTTTTTTGACATATTAAAAAGTTGTTTATTCAAGTTTATAATTTAAACTCAAATTAAATTATTGCCATATTATTTTTGTCATAATTTTACGCGTTAACAAATTATTAACTTGTAAAAAGAAAATATAAAGATATTTTTTGTTGATGTTTTGTTTTCAAATTGTTGATTAATTATATTGTTGAATTTTAATTTAATAATTATGATGGTACAATACACGTATAAGTTATATACTTAATTATAAGTATTATTTATAATTTAGAACATGTTCATCGTGTTTAAAAGTACAAGATGTTAATGATATTTTAAACGAAATGTAATTTGCATGTTTAGATATTAAAAGACCTAATAATAATCTTAATAAATTAAAGAATTTGCAAATTGCATGAACAATATTGGAGTCTACAGAAATTATTATTAAATGATAATTACGAGTAAAATACAAGTCTAACGATTTATGTGATTCTTTTTTTATACTTATATTTTATGTTATCCTAAAACTAAATTTGCATGATTTTGAAATTTTAGAAGTTTAGTAAACATTATTATCAGGTATCAGCTTCAATTTATTGTTAATTATAAATTAACAATATTATAATTAAATAAACAATGTCATTTATTCTTTATTGTATATTTATTTATGAAGTTTGAAGCGAAAATTGTTATTTGAGTATGTATATTAATATCATGTGAATTTTGTGAATATAGACTGCATTGTGAACGTAACAAATTCACAAAATAACATAATATTTATAAATATATTTCCAGTTGAATTATAGTTTTGTAATTATATAAAACAAATTGTTATTTGAAATTATTATTATGTAATCTCACAAAATATTTAATTACAATTTATTTATTGCCATCATGTATAAATTCGTGTCTAAATTGAATAATAAATTTATATAAATTTTATTATTGTGAACTTAAATATTTTACATTCCAGTGTAACAATATTTTATTTCATTATTTAAAAGCAAAACCTCATCGGAGTGTTTACTGTGATATTAGTATTATGAATGATGGTGAATTTAATGAATAAATATTTTTTTTATTAAACGTTTTTCTTTGTAGACTAGTTGCTGTTTAGAGTTGGAAATATTCAGCAAAAAAAAATTGTAATTTGTATTTGTTAAGTGCGGCTAAACAGGACTTGTATCCAGAGCCGTAAAACATATTAATAAAAAAAAGTATATGTATATAATTTATCATTTAATACAACTTTGAGTATAATTGTGTATAACAAAATGCAATTTAATGTAGTTATATTAAATTACAAAATTCAAGAACCGCATTGGCTAATGTCTGTTTGTTCTTCTTTTATTTAGATATTTCAGGTGATCTTCGTCATCTTCGTATAGAGTCTTTTCAATCCAGCGCATGAATGATTCCACCTTGAAACAGAAATTATACCTTAATATGCGTTATCTATGTTTGATTTTTGACTGATCTGTAGTCGAATTTAGGTCATTTTTAGGCCGCAGCTGACCTTTACAGCTTCACTGAACGATAGGGGCCGAGTGCAGATGGCACTCCAAACCCGCGGAAGGACTTGTGAAACGGCTGAAGCCAGCTTCTGCCTGACGGATACGAGTTTAGTCTGAGGACACCGCTAAGGGTTCGAAACGTGGCTGTAGTACTTTCGATTCTTTTTTAAACTGGACGGGGGATTAAACAGAAGGGAATGAAAATCTATAACCAACATAAGTTTTTATGTAATTTGAACTGCAAAGAACTGATAATCCGCCTTATGGTAAGCAATAATCGCCTATATATTGTTTAGTTTAGGTTAAAAAATACGTACAATGTCATCAAAAGAGTGATTAACTGGTGTAACTGGACGCCGGATCATCAAAGTTATATCATCAAAATTATGGTAGTGAACTAACATCTACTCATACTCTATAATATTTTCTCGCTTATACTCTTTACTTACTATATACTCTTCACTCACTATATACTCTTTACTTACTATTATTCTTTACTCAGTATATACTCACCTTAGTATAAACATCAGGTTTTCCTCTAGCACATGGTATACCCCAAGATACAACTCCCACTTGTCTACCTTCGCGAACCAAAGGTCCTCCGGAGTCGCCCTGCAATAAATCTGATTTAAACAGACCATAAAGAATATTTGACGACCTCGGTGATATAGCGGTTTACTTCCGGTGGTCGCGGGTTCGATTCCTGGCACCATAGAAACAGTTGTAAGTATGAGTATGATGATGTTTGTTATGGGCCAGATCATGTATATTATGTATATATGTAGATGTTTATATCTTTTTAATAAATGCATATGAAAGTATATATGGTACTTACATCAAACAAATAATTAAGAAAGGTATCTCTGTCTATTTGTACCTACTTGCTAATCTCTGAAACGGCGGGACGGATTTTGATGGGAATTTCACTTGCAGATAGTTAATATTATAAGGAATAACATAGGCTACTTTTATTTTAATTTCACGCGGTCAAAGTCGCATGTAACTACTCTGTAAATAAATAAGATTCTTTGTCTTCTCTTAGTCTTTAAAAATGTCTGTCTGTCAGTTTGTTATTGATAAACTCGGTAGTGGCCGGTCCGATTTTGACGGGACTTTACACTAGAATATACTATATGATATATGTACAGGTTTATAGCAGTATAGTACATATATAGAAGACTAGCTTTCGCGTTAATTTATCCCTTTAGAGGTGGAATTTATCAAAATCCTCTCTTAGCGGATGCCTACGTCATAACATCTACCTGCATGCCAAATTTCAGCCCGATCCGTACAGTAGTTTGGGCTGTGCGTTGATAGATCACTATGTCAGTCACCTTTGAGTTATATATATTTAGATATCTAATGTTTTCAGGAGTAACTTAGGCTACATTTATTATAACTAGTCTGTAATAACTTAGACACTTACATGGCACGCTCCTTCTCCAGCTTTGGTCAACGCGCAAATCTGTGACTCGAATACTTCATTGATATTCTTGTGTGCCTCCTTGCACTCTTCGTAGGTGATCGCTTTCAGCTCCAGTTGCATGAGGTCGTTGGGAAGACGTCCAGGATACTGAAATATTAAAGTAAAAAATAATTTATCCATGTAGGATATTGTAGCCGGTTATAAACGTCAAGTTAAACAGAGCTTGTGTTATGGTTACTAGACAACTGATGTATAAATATATATAAAAATACAAAAATAAAAGGATTATATATAAATATGTATTTACGAAAAAAATCTACTAAGTAGTAATATAGAAAACACCCAGACCGATACAAACAATCATACTTATAAATACAAATGTTTGTACAGTGCGTGGAATCGAACCCGCGACCATCGGACGTAAAATGCTATATAATAATAATAATATTTTAGTATAGTATACGTCTTGCCGAAGCTTGTACCAGGACAATTCACATAGCGCCATCTAGTCTCAAGCTAAGCAGAGCTTGTGTTATGGGTACTAGACAACTGATATAAATACACATATAGTTCATTTCCGTGAACACATACTTAGTCTACATAGAAAACACCCAGACCGATACAAACAGTCATGCTCATGAATACAAATGGTGTGAGGAATCGAAGCCGCGACCATTGGAAGTAAAGCGATGTGCTAAACCGCTAGACCACCGAGGTCGTCATATATATCTACATATATATGTATATTAGACTACTATAAAATAATTACTACAACACTTACAGAGGTAGTACCCCAACCGGTCAGTTTCAAGTCTTCTCCCTTCTCCACCGGTTCGTCATTCAGCTCTATAGCATCAACGGTACTGCTGAACTCTATTTCCTTATCAGTAAACAGTATAGCTATATCGTTCTTGATCACATCGTCGTCATAGTCCTCATGGTAGACAATTTTCCTAATACTATATGCTTTACCGCCCGCTCGCAACATATTTGTGCCAACTACAGCCATGAAATATATTGGTCGCGCTCTGAAATATGAGATTTTTATATGTAGCAAGTGAAATGGCAAGAATCTGACGGTCCAACTTGTAAATGGAAATCGACGTCAATATACAAGAACAGCAGTAAGAAAATCACAGGATCATGTTGATGGAAGAAAGCGATGTTGTCGTAACATGAAAACCCTAACTTCACAAAAAAAATGTAGGGTAAAGATTCTTGAAGTTATCATGTTTTCCTGTCCTACACTCAAGTTATGCATCTCCAATGAAATGATCAAATATTAATGTGAACTAATTCAATTTATTATGCAAGCGCCTGTACAATATTAGGAGCTATATTTTTCAATAATACAACATTGCTAAGTAATGTTGTGGCTTAATTGATCATGAATTATAAAATATTTGCTGAAGTAGCCTCTGTTCTATATTGTAGGTATTTCTTTAACCTATTTCAGCTACCAAGCATTATTATTATTACTATTCATGTGCAAATAGTCCAAGAGCCCCTGATGGCCAGACATTCGTCTTATTAGTATATGTGAAAGTTCTTGTATGTATGTCCCCAACACAGGTAAGAACGCACATGAAACCTGGATCGTAGTTCCTTTGGCAGGTAACGAAGGTGTAAAAATTTTCATATCAAATTCATTAATTTATGAAACTAAATTTTTTCACATATTGATCGTAACAGTATTATAACTTGCGCTGCTCATTGCCAGACACTTAGTATGGTTACAACCCTTCGGCATCGGGACACCCCCAAACACTTAGGGGTATTAAAATTAGTTATAAACATATTCTCAGACCTACTAAATATCTATATACAATTTCATCAAAATTGATCAAGTCGTTTCGGAAGAGTATAAACACGAAACCTATGACATCAGAATTATATGTATTAGATATACATATATGTATATTCGATTGATTTTTTGTTTGTAATGAATAAACTGGTTAACAATAAATTCACCTCTGGACGCAGTGAGCAGCCGTCAGTATTACCCGTGGGGTCACCAGGGAAGCCCCACAGAAGTGCCAAACTCCAAACCACCTTAGAGAAACCTGGTAGGGGACACTACCGTTAGCAGCCTTGGTCCCTCCAACGATTCTCTCCCATTCATCCTGACCCTTGGACGAGTAAAATTCTGCTAACGCTGTAAATTCAAATAAACTGTTTTGGCAAATTGCAATTGACCACGATGGTTTCCATGGGGAACCGCGTGGAGGTCGATTAAGTAAGGCATATTAATAAACCTATGTAAGAATAATAAAGAACCTTAAAATTAGTAATTTTTCATTACTTATTTTAATTAAAATTACCTAAATATCATAAACCGAGTTTAATATAGATAATTTTTATGTGATATTAGATCAACACACAAGTTTCTGGCTCGTTCTTCTTGTGATGAGACAGCTTTCCGAATGAGCGGTAGACTAAAAAATTGTTATGAATATTCAAGTGCTTAAATTAAGTTTATTTGAATAAAGCATTTTCTATTTTATTTTATTTTTACCTGCATGAAATTTATTGCCTATATGTTATTCTGATGTATTAGCTATTTATTATATTTTCGTATTATTACTGTAAAGTTTAATCAAAATTACACGCATAATTTTCGCGTTTATAGTAAATATACACAACCTCTTACGTAACAAATAATTTTATATTTTATCCTTTAATTGTAGTTATGAATAATTTAATAAAATGACAGGAAAAAAATTTGTCAGAAGTGGGATTCGAACCCACGCCCACAGAAGTGGACTGCGACCTGAACGCAGCGCCTTAGACCGCTCGGCCATCCTGACATATATAAACTAGTCGAAATTACAAGTTTCTTGCTACGCTGCCTTATTACGTTATAAGGTCATGACGTCACACGTCATAAATTAGGTGGGATTGATGTTTTGATACTTTATATTAGAACGTCATGTTGTTATTGTTGATGTTTTATTCGACTCGTCTCAATTGTACTGCATTGTATTATAATCTTTAAGGCTATGGTATTACGAGTCCTTTTCATTTATTCATTATAATTTTACAAGCTCTTTTAGGAATTCTGTATTGTTATGATATGGATATATAGACGGATGAAATAAAATTTATTACTGAGGTTTTAGTTATAAAGATTATTACTTTATATTTACTACAAAGTTTGTTTTTAAAAACTAAATATAAAAAGTTTGTAAAAAAAATTCCATATTGAGAGGACTTAATTTCTTGCGTTAGTTGATAGTTTTTCAATATTAAAATTCATTACATAACGTTTATAGTAAAATCATGTTTCTATAAATTTTGAACATTTCTTCAAAATAATTTTGTTTGAAAAAATTACCAAGGAAAGGTAAAATGATAAGATGAGCATGAAGGTAGGTCAGTTACCCCATTTTGGCAAATAGAAATTTACCACGTTGGTTGCAAGCGGAACCGCGGGGTGGAGGAGGGAATTGTTAGTAATGTGGACTAAAACCAATGTACCATGTCAGTTTGAGCTCCTAGTGGTTCCCCCTCGAAACCATCGTGATAAGTTCATGGTAAATTTACCACGGTAGACTGACCTGACCTCATGTTCATCTTATCATCCTCCACTCCCCCGCCAGTAAACCGATGCCAGGCGCCAGCATTTAAATACATTTCGATATATTAGAAATTAGCGCAGCGACTTCGTCCGCTTGAAATTTAAATTTTTCTAAAATAAAAGTAGCCTAAGTTACTCGTTATTACATCAGCTACCTGCCAATAAAAGTCCCGTCAAAATCGATCCAGCCATTTCAGAGATTAGCCGGAATAAACAGACAGCCAGACGGACAAAAAATTTAAAAAATGTTATTTTGATGTATGTACTGTATTTATATTCATATGCATGTAATAAAAAATGGTTATTACAATATTACAAACAGACACTCCAATTTTATTTATATGTATAGATATGGTTAAAAAATGACTGAACGTTTATATAAAAACATGGTCTCCATTCATTTTGGACGCTTCCAAATCAATTCAATTAACAAGACTTACCAAAAAAAGGTAAAACTATTAAAAACACACAAAAGCGTAATGCGAACATTTCTTCTAACATACTGAATTTCACAAAAGGTTACATAAGTTTATATATGTATAATTTTGTATGCAAATGCATACGTACGTCATAATACCATGTGATTTACTATTGAGCTAAATAACTATGTTGATACCCCTATGATCTCAAATTGTCTCACGTAATACTCACCGAATTTGCATTTAATCGTTTGAAACCTAATAATTTATTCGTCTAATCTGGTAAAAGGGTCAACAATCCTGTAATGTTTTTTTATACCACGCAGGTGGCAAACAAACATACGGCCCATCTGATGGTAAACGGTTACCGTAGCGTATGGACGCCTGAAACACCAGGAGTGTACCTGCGCGTTGCCGACCCTTAAGAAACCTTAATATACTCTTCTTGAAAAACCCCATGCTGTAGTCTTTCGACAAATAGAAATAATCTTTATTAAAATCAACTCATTACAAGCACTTTTGAATAGTCATATTTTGATTCTACCACTCATTCGGAACGCAGACTCATCACAAGAAGAATGAACAAGAAGCTTGTGTGTTGTTCTTTTGAATAGATGTTTTTTTATATAAATAATTACAGTATAACAAGTAAGAGGTATGCGATAATCAACATAGAAATCGCTACGCACTCATTATAGTGTAATCAGATAATATTGTCAGAGAGAAAACCTCGGCAGGTAGTTCATTACACAATCTAAGTGTACGCGGGAGGAAGCTCCTCTGAAACCGCACTGTCCAAGACTAATTAGGTTCCAGCGTGTGAGGATGAATTCTCTGTCGATGGCAAACGGTGCGATGGTAAAAGGTAGCTGTAGGAATCATGTCAAACAATTTATCAGAACACAGTCCGTTGTATATTCGGTAGAACACACAAAGCGACGCGAAGTCTCGCCTCAAGCTAAATGGTTCGATACCGTCAGAGAGATTGGGATCATCGGCAATTCTCATATGTGATAAATTCCTGGTGAATTTATCACAGGCGCAGGCGCAGGCGGGTGCACCATATTCTTTTATCAAACTCCGAATTACATGAATAACGATATTTTGAATTTTGAATTTGTATATCGTATATTATATATGTATATGAAATAGGAATATATTTGCGACGGCCTCAGTGGTCTAGCGGTATAGCACATTACTTTCCTTTTTATGGTCCTGGGTTCAATTCTTCGCACTGTGCAAACATATGTATTTATGAGTATGATTGTTTGTATCTGGCTTGGCTATCTTTTCTATGTATATTGTGTATGTACAAAGAAAAATAAGTATTTATATCAGTTGTCTAGTATCCATAACACAAGTATTTACCTTGGAGCTAGATGGCGCTGTGTTAATTGTCCAGGGTAAATAAATACTAGTAAGATAAAAGAGGTTAGATAGTTTTAGGCTTGCGGCTACGGCTACCATCAGATGGACGTATGCATATATATATATACATATATATATTTCCCACCATCGTAGTAAAAAAAAAAAGGCGCGTCATCGCATATCACCTTTAATAAGAACCCTAAATTTAAAGCCAAAAAGAAAAAAAATAAACTTTAACATATATATATGTTTTCCACCATCGTAGCATAAAAAAAGACGCGTCATCGCATATCACCTTTAATAAGAACCCTAAAATTACAGCAAAAAAAACTTCAAAAGCTTCAAAGCAAAATTACCAAACCTAATTCGAACCGACGCCTCAGAGAATGCCATTACGTGACACCATTGGAGCCAGGATGTGGACAATTTGCCGGCAATTTAAATGTACCATATCGGCACATAGCACTTGCATACGAAATTGTTGTAATGAATTGTTGCATGCATGCATTTCAATGTAGTAACCTCTTAGTGGTGATATAAGAAGATATTGGAGTTTCTATTTATCACTACATATTATAAAACAAAGTCGCTGTCGCTGTCTGTCCGTCCCTATGTATGCTTAAATCTTTAAAACTACGCAACGGATTTTGAATTTGTTTTATTTCTCTTCTTCAATATTTGTTACATCGTTTCTGTTATTATATAGACATAATAATATAAATATATAATTTTTTACAATTTAATTTAGGAGGACCACATTACTGGATGTGGTAAATCAAAGCAACAGATAACGAAAGCTATAAAAATCTGATAAAAGCTAGTTGGCTGATCGCAGATAGATAAGGAAATTAAAAAAAAATATTGTATTTTGGTGTTTTATAATAATAGAATAGAAATAATCTTTATTCAAATAAACTCATTACAAGCACTTTTGAATAGTCATATTTTGATTCTACCACTCATTCGGAATGCAGATTCATCACAAGAAGAATAAGCAAGAAACTTGTGTGTTGCTTTTTTAAATAAATATTGATTTAAATATATTTAATTAACAACAAGGATTAGGCATGCGACAATCAACATAGAAACCGCTACGCACTTAATCTCAGTTCAATCAGATAACATTGTCAGCGCTATGAATTTTAAGTTAGATATTTTCTACAAAAACATTATTATCATTTATAAATTCTTCAATTTTATAATAAGCTCTTTTACATAGAAAATATTTTATAATACATGGGATTTTTTTTCTGGCAAATTGAGTTAATTTTTTTCAATGATTACATCCACGCACCTTGTCGAGATTGACACAGTAATTACAAAAAAAAAATTACACCACCTCCAATCCGATATGTTCTCGCTAACATGCAAATCTGACGGCGCCAGTGTCAACAGTTTTATTGCATTCGGATGCATACAATGCTCGCATACAGTTATAATTGAAAGGTGATCACGTATGCCGACACGGTGTCACACTTAGATGATAGTAGATAGATAGATAAGAAGTTTTATTTGTATCTTACTATATAATATTATATTAACTGTGATCTTACACACATATACAGGTTTTTTTATGGATGACTAGTACCTGCGACTTCATCCGCGTGGAATTTAACTTTATTTTTCTAAAATAAAATAGTCTTTCTAAATAAAAGTAGCCTAACTTACTCCTTATTACATCAGCTACCTGCCAAAAAAAGTCCCGTCAAAATAGGTCCATCCATTTTAGAGAATAGCCGGAACAAACAGACAGACAGACAAAATTTGTAAAAAATGTTATTTTGGTGTATGTACCGTATTTATATACATGTGTATCAAGTAAAAAACGGTTATTTCAATATTACAAACAAACACTCCAATTTTATTTATATGTATAGATTGTGGAATGATGCACCAGCGTGCGCTAACGGTTTATGCTGGCGGGGCACCAGTGGATGATAAGATGAGATGGGGTTAGGTCAGTTGGCCCATCCTGACAAATTCACCTGGAATTTATCACGATAGTTTCCAGTGGGAACCGTGGGAAGGTTAACATGACTTGGTACATTGCTAGTGATGAAGTAATTAACAATCACTTTCCCCCATACATGTAGGTTTAACGTTAATTATAGAAACTGATTATAAATTTATTAACGACATATTATAATTTAAATAATGTAAATTAAATATTGTACTGGGTGAAAACTGATTGTTACAGCCTATCCTGTAAATAATATAAATGACGTAGTGGAGTAACTTGAAGCAATCATGCTTAATCATATTAATACTAGATTTAAAGACAAACTTGCTGTCCCCAAGTATCGTTTAGAAAAAGTTAATAGGTATACCCTTAAATAAATTCAAAACATCTGTTAAATCATATTTTGAGCAATGATGGCTACTCATCACTAAACGATTACTTGAATGGACGAGTGTGCTGCTTGTTGTTCATGACTGATTTTCATTTTGTTAGACATAACACCTATATACATTGTATCTTTTAAAAAAAAAGTCATTCAATTAAGTTTCTTGCCAGTTCTACTCAATCATCTATATACCGACTGACGGTAGGGAAAAAATAACTTTATATTAAAAATTTGTTTAACCAGTAAAATGTGTATTCAATATTTTTTCTTTTTGAGTATTTAATTGAATTAAGTGCAAATTACGGCGGCGTGGTTTCGTATTCACACACTTAAACTTGAAAATGTAATGATGGCTCAAAATCCGTCAATGTAAGTTTATTTGAATAAATGATTTTCTTTCTATTTATCTTTGTAAAAATTGATATAGCATATGCTGTTGGTTACTCTATTCTCCCAAATATGAATTTAAAAATGGATCTGTATTATTGTAAACATGTACAACATTTATTTGAAAAGAATACGGGCTGAGTTTCTTGTCAGTTCTTCTCATATCGAAATCATTCCGAACTGACGGTAGATTTGACATATCATAAGGGTCTGCAATAGACCTACATGAATGAATAATGATGAATATTTTGTTTTGATTTGATTTATTTAATAGACGAAGAAGAAGTATTACAGCAAAACAAAATAACTCACATATGAACTATTTCAGTTGTTTTTAGTTCATATAACTTTTACTTGAGAGCGTCAGGGCCTAATGGTTTACTACCGGATTTAGAGTTCCGGAGTTCGAATCTAGACGGCACTAAGAAACTTTCTTTGAATTCAAATACATATATATGTACACTAGCGATCCACCTAGAGTTCGCACGGGTTGTTGAAAATCTTTGAATTCCGTCTTTGCTGTACTAATATGCATGTATTAAACCTGCCTCTTAAATCACTCTATCTATTGCTGAAACTTGTATTGAAATCCGATGCGTAAAATAAAAGATCTAAGCGTACAGACAGCGGTGGCGACTTTGTTTTATACTATGTAAAGATGTGTTTTTAAAATAAGTTATTTATATCATAAGAGTCTGTAATAGACCTACATGAATAGAATAGAATAGAATAGATTAGAGTAGAATAGAGTAGAAGAGAGTAGAAGAGAGTAGAATAGAGTAGAATAGAGTAGAATAGAACAGAGTAGAATAGAGTAGAATAGAAATCATTTATTCAAATAAACTTACATTGAAGTTGAACTTACAATGAATAAAGATATTTTGAATTTGAATTTGAAATCTTCTGGTATACCATTGATCAAATGTCAGTTCTTCGAGTGCTTAGGAGATCCTGGAATAGATCCTGAAGAGGGTCCTTACAGTGCATTGCTTGTATATTGACGACGGTAATCCGCCACTGTCGAAATATGGGGAAATCAACAAAAATAAAACGTATAAATAATGACCGCATCAAATTTAAAAAAGTAAAAATTTGTTACAATATAAAATTTAGTGTAACATGTTCAAAATATATACAAAAACACAGTTAAATGTTATTTCGGCCCTCATTCCACATTTTTCGTCCATTAATAACTTCAAACAAGCGAGATCGTCTCCCGTTAACAGATTTTCCATTATGTTTGTTTATTTTCCGTCTCGATATGCTTTGTTGGGTAAATATGCATTCCTACACATCAACAATATGAGGGAACTGCAAAAAAAACGTTACTGTACCATAAGCCGTTACTCTTTACCAATGTGCAGATTTTACTGTGTTTTACTAGTTGTTGTGATTGTTGCTTGTAAGTAAAATAAGTTTTTTTATTTAAATACAAATAAAATCTTGATTTAAAAAGTTTGTTTTGAAGAAGTAGCGTCGGCAGGCAGTTGTATCCGTCAGGCGGGAGTTGGCCTTCAGCCGCTCCACAAATCCTTCCTTTGGTTTGGAGTGCCACTTGCACTTGCCTCCTATCGACCGGTGAAGCTGTAAAGGCCAGCTGCGGCCAACAGCATTAGGGTAATCCGAAAAAATAATAGTGACGTCATCGCGCACGTGACACACCTAGTGTTTCAGGCGTCTATAGACTATGGTAACCTTTTATTTAACCATCAGATGGGCTGTATGTTACATTGACACTATAGTTGTATAAAAAAAAATCATTTAAGTTTCGATAACTCTGTTTTATGTTTTGTTATATTCAATTGCATTTTTTTTGAAATGGCAAACAAGCTGACTACTATGCTAATGTAATAATTAAACCTAGACAATTAACACAGCGCCATCTAGTCCCACGGTAAGCAGAGCTTGTGTTATAAGTACTAGACAATTGATATAAATACCATTTTTTTGTAAATATATACATAATATACACAGAAAATACCTAGACCGATGCAAACAATCATACTCATGAATACAAATGTTTACACCGAACAAGGAATCGAACCCGCGACCATGTTATACCGCTAGACCACCGAGGCCGTCAAAATTATTTATTATCTTCAGGTATACCATTGATCAAATGTCAGTTCTTCGAGTGCCTAGATGACCCTGGAATAGATCCCGAAGAGGGCCCTTTGGTAGACTTACAGTTTACTTGGTTGGGAGCACTGCAGTACATACATGGTGAGAAGAAGAGAAGAAAGTATTCATTCAAATTTCTTAATTCCCATATCGTTATTTTTGTCTATGGAATTATATTATGGAAGAATAATACATCTGTTTGTTTGTCTGTTCTGATGTTTTACGTCAAGTTCTTCTTCACCCCAAATGCTTTTATACCGTTAATTATGATGATTGCATAGACTGCTATGGGATGAATCGCAAACAACCAATATCACTTTCACATTTATGATAATAACTAGCTTTTGCCCGCGGCTTCGCCCGCGTTAATTTATCCCCTTAGGGGTGGAATTTATCAAAATCCTTCTTAGGGAATGCCTACGTCATAGTAGCTTTATGCATGCAAAGTCTCAGCCCGATTGGTTTAAAATTTACAAAGTTACATACGAACTTTCATCCCCTATTTTATCCCCTTGAGGGTAAATAATTAAAATCCTTTCATAGCGAATGCCTATGTCATAACATCTACCTGCATGCCAAATTTCAGCCCGATCTGTCCAGTGGTTTGGGCTGTGCGTTGATAGATCACTATGTCAGTCACCTTTGAGTTATATATATATAGATAATCCTAGACGAGTAGTGCAGATCTATTATTATTATCCTGGACATAGCGTCAAAGTTAAATAAACCTTGCGTTATGGGTATTAAACAATTTATAGAAATACAAACAGTCATATTCATTTACCTATACAAGTGTCAGCGTCGTGCGAGGCAATCGAACCCGCTACCAACGGAAGTAAGTTATATATATAGATACCCGGATTCCCTATATATCTAGCACTATATTGTAACTTAGCTCAAGTTAGTTGATGGCCCACCTATTGCGGTGGGGAGATAGGGCCCAGAATTTTAAAAAGGAGTTGTGTTAAACCGCTATACCACTGATAGGAAGCATTATTCATTCATAACAATTCGGTAAAAAACATGTTGCAGTGAAGAATGGGACTCCTCACTACTTTAGAGTACCAAGAGTGGTTCTTATCAGCCGACAGTTCGCACTATCCACTGCTATGGACGCTGCTCAGATACCAGACGGATTTGCCCTGTAAGTTAATATAGGTTACAAAAAATGTAACAGGTAAATAGAGTTTACAAACTATGTAACAGGTGAGTAGAGCTTACAAAATATGTAACGGGCCAACAGGGTAAAATTCAAGAGTGGTTCTTATCAGCCGACAGTTCGCACTATCCACTGCTATGGACGCTGCTCAGATACCTGACGGATTTGCCCTGTAAGTTGGCAGACGTTACAAATTACTTAACCAGTAAATAGAGTTTGCAAATTATGTAACAGGTGAGTAGAACTTACAAAATATGTACCGCTGCTAAGATACCAGACGAATTTGCCCTATAAGTTACCAGACATTACAAAATACGTAACGAGCGAGTAGAGCTTACAAAATATGTAAAGTTATTCAGATAACAGACGGATTTGCCCTGTAAGTGAGTAGACGTTACAAAAAATGTAACAGGTAAATAGAGTTTACAAATTATGCAACAGGCAAGTAGAGATTACAAAATATGTAATAGATGTGCAGAGTTTACCAAATATGGTATGGCTTGTGTTATTGATACTATGCAACTGATATACTAACTTTTTACAAATATATAGAAAACACCGTACAGACTGATAAAAACAATTATACTCATCAATACAAAAGTTAGTACTGTGCGAGAAACCGAACCCGCGGCTATTAGATGTAAAGCAGTGGGCTAAACTGCTAGTCCATTGAGGCCATCTAATGTAAATGTTTCAGGAGTTATTTTTTTGTAGAGGTAACATTGTATTTGGGGATTATGAACGTGATGAAGAAGAATGTGGGGTGTCCATCGAGGATTTAGCACAAGGGTCGGAGTGTGATCCAGCGATTCTGTTGATGCCAATATCAGACGTGCTTCTCCATCCAGAGTACAAGCATTTTAAAGAGAAGGAGAGTATTGCTATCCTGAAAATGATCACTCCGATAAAATCCAGTAAGTTTAGAAGGTTTACTAATCAAATTTGATCGTAGATAGTGTGCGATGCTTACATCTATAATGGCATTATGTTTTAGGTGTGGAACTTTAAATGAGACTTTCAATCAACATTTTCTTCATGGTTCTTCCTTAATTTAAGTCATTAACGTCGTAATTTAATATAATTTAACTTTATCACTTATTGCATTGTTGTTTGTTAGACCCAATATATGAAAAAACTACTCCACATCCACGTTGTAATCTAATAATTATTATTTAATAACGTATTGTTTCAGAATACGTATTACCAGCGTGTTTGCCATTTAAAAACTTCTTAATAGGTAAAAATGGAAGACAGACAACGGAAAAATTGTTTCACATTGATTTTAGTAGTGGTATGTTACATTTACTTACATATTTTACATAAATAAGATACTGGTAGATACATAAAATTAGATTCATTTTACTTTCTGAACTTATTTCCACTCCTGCGCCATCTACTCTATTCTATACGGAAGAGATTGCATTAGCGATAAGACCGCCTTTTGTACTTAGTTTTATTTTTAATATTTTAATTTTGTTACTGTCCTTTCTACTCGTTCGTCATACGTCTACGTATGTTGGTGAAATATAGTGTTACAAACAAAAAAAAAATAAGGCAGAAATCTATGGTATTATAGTTTGTATATACAATACTCGTACTTGATGGGCCTTGTGAGTGGTCTACCCATGAATTTTTGCCTCATAGTCGTTGCCGGGGCAAAGGGTTTTGCTCCATGGCCTCAACAATCCGCAAGAAACGTAGGCAAACCTAGTAAACTCGGTCTTATAAAGATTTTGCTTGAAAAAAGCACACAGACAAAAATTATATGTATATATTCTTTTTTTTACTTCGGTATAGTACAACATGTGTAACTTTCTTTTGTTATTTGTATAGCTAGTTTACGACTTTATTACATGTATTGGTTTGTTTTAATTTACATTTGATGTTGCAGATGTACCTAGAGATTTTGTGGAGGAAGAGAAAGAAGTGGTTAGAATTAGTCTGCTGCCAAGAGAGCTTTGCTATTTATATGACAATCCTGTGGTGAGAATTACTTCTTCTTAATAATCTTAGGTTCCATAATTTATTCTGGAATTGTCATTTTCCAACTAACATATAAGAGAAAGCTTAATTGCTTACCAATTTGGCAATGGAATTTAAGTCGTCAAAGAGCCTGGTTTTTTAATTCATTAAGTGCACCAGACTGGCATCTTAGTTCTTTAGAATAGTTTCGCGTAGAGGCTAAAAATTAGGCGGAACTATTCTTTTCATCAATTACCATACATATATGTAAATAACGTTTAATTTGTAACAGAATACATCAAACTTGGCTAAGAACCGCATTGCTTGTTCCACTGGGTGTGGTTTCCACTCTGGAGCGCCAAGTCTTGTCCACGAGCACACAGGCCACTGGTCCATTGTAGCACTCTCACAAGGTACGTAAGAGTGTCTTTGTGATCAAAATCCAACAATTTTTCATTTTAAGTTTAAATGATTATGATTTTTATCAAATTAAGTTTCATTTTCTGCAATTATATTACCATTATACAATCATCATTGCCTTGCCTCTTCCCTGATCTCTATAGGCCGTCATATCTGATATGACGGCCTTTAGAGATCAGGGATCATACTCTCTTTTTATTCACATTATTGTTCACACTGAACTGAGGTACCCACGTGTACAACTTTTTAGAGTCTACTTCGAAATATCCAAGAAGGAATAATGCTATATAAAATTTATTTGTGATAAAGTGGTTCATACTGCAGATGAAAGTCTAATATCTTATAGGTGATGGCTACCTTACTAATAGTAGGTAGGTAGGTACTACTAGTGTTCTAAATTTGTATCACCTTTCTGACCAGGTGGGGCACCATGTCCTGACCCTCTCCGTGTTCGTCGCCCCCCTCCCCCGCCCCGGCACATAATCCTCCATCCCTACGTACCCTGGATTACTGCTGCCATCACTGGTAAAGCTGTGGGAGCGTTCGCTAAAGATGATCCATTTGGTAAGCAATATTTATAATTACTAAATATGTACAATGACGATACGACTAGTCCACCAACTCAAAGTCAATCAAACAACTATGGAAAGAGCTATGCTTGGAGTTTCTTTGAGGTATCAAATCCGAAAGGAATTAATTCTCCAAAGAACTAGGGTCACCACTCCCTTTCAAATCTTTATAACCCTTTTTATGTCCTTTTTTACGCTATGTCCTTTCTCAGGGTCTAGACTATCAGACAGAGTTACTTTCGCATTTATAATATTACTAAAGACTAGTAAGGATTAAGTTATCAAGTTGACAATGCCTACCACGAATGATATAACAGTCGTTATGGTATGTTCTTACTATTTATCGTTTTAGGATTTATGATGCCTCGAGCGTCGTTCCACGATTTGATCGGACACGATTGGAACGGCCACTGGTGGATGGGTGGGCGGAGATGTTTCGACAGAGGAGAAGCAGCTGATGACATGTTCCGATTCTATCATGAGATATTCCAAGTCAAGCCCACCATTTTGACTTACCTCAGTTATTATCTAGAGGTTGGTCGATAACTAATTAGTAAGAATTTATACTAATACTTGCTAACCTGGCAAATGTTGTTTTGCCATGTAAATTAATATCGCTATTAAAAAATAGGTATTCATGGTATTAGGGTTAAAATTTAAAAATATATGTTTGATGCCGAAGCATAAAAAAAAAATATTTTGGGTGGGTCACCCACTTTGGGGTATTAAAAATAGTTCACGTCCTATTCTCAGACCTACTGAATATACACACAAAATATCCTAAGTATCGGTCAAGCCCTTTCGAAGTTTAGTTACAAACACGAAAATTTTATATTGTAAAAAGGTAAAGTTTGTGGGATGTTCGGGGTATTCTCCGGTTCTACTGATCCCATTTTAAAAATTCTTTTGATAACCCATGAGTTGGATAACCCATTTATCGAGGAAGGTAGACTATATAACATCTTGCTATGACTAATAGGAGAATGTTGTAAAATCGGGAAAATGTGATATTACACGGTACATAATGAAGGTCATATAATATTTATAAGTTCTTACACATACCGCCAAAATTGTAATTGTTACGCAAAAGTTTAAACTATTAATAAATAACTAAATTACCAGCTAAGCTCCTATTAAAAGCGTAGGAACGTCCTGATAAAGAAAGAGTAAAAAATATTTTAATGAAATATTGATGTTATTGGTGGTCCACTGGTTTAAGCTCAACTTACATTCGAACGTCACAGGATCGACTTACATTCGAAGGTTACGGGTTCGATTTGATGTGAATGTGAATTTAAAATTCCGTCTAATTCGAAATTTTTGAAGTTGCTGTTACAAATTTGCAAAATCCTATTAAATATAATCTTGTCTATGCGGTATCATTAACAATTTCTTTTGCAGGTGGATGCCAGTCACGATTGCCTTATAATTTGCGTAAAAGTTGGTATGCCGTATCAAATTGGTCAACCTAAGGTAACGGAATTGGATACTCCGGTAGTCAGGGTGCGTACTCAGTCGTTCTGTTCTAAGTTTTTTTTATGGGGGGGTTTGGGAGAGGTCAGGTGCTTGGACAGATACTACGACCTACTTATGTAGGTCGTAGTACCTGGTATTGTGCTCGCCCTTATCTTAATAAAGCGGTGTCCTACACCGCTAGACCACCGAGGCCGAAATTGAAATATCATTACATAGTATAACACAAAATCGCTGTCGCTGTCTGTCCGTCCCTATGTATGCTTAAATCTTTAAAAATACGCAACTAATTTTGAAGCAGTTTTTTTTAATTGATAGAGTGATTTAAGAGGAAGATTATATGAAGCCGGGGCGAGTAGCTAGTAATATGTACATACATGCGTATTATAGTATAGAGAGATAGAAATTCAAAGATTTGTAATGATATTAAATTCTAAACCATTTACAACTACAGTAACATTTCTTCATCATACACTCGTATATATGTATTATTATTATTTTGTATTTAATAAATATTTATTTTTAATATGATATGATATCCTAAAGGTACGGATACCCACAGTGACATTCAGACATCTGTACAAGTTTCAAGTTGAAGTTTGGGGATACAATGCAACCGAATCCTCGACCAGCTCAGGTGCATCTTCCTCGTCACCCGAAGAACCATCGGACGAGGATGAATAGCAGATTTTCTTTATTTGTGAAAAAAATAATTTTGTCTCATATTAACTTTTGCCTCTTACTAACTCAAGTTGGACCTAACCGTCTAACCTACCTGAGTTCGATTTTGGAAATCAGACTGTGTGTAAAGAAACATCCTAAAATATAAAACAAAATATTTGAAGAATATAATAAAATTACTCACCTTACTTACGGATACCTTAATCCTACAAAATTGAGAATGCTTACATTAAATAGTAGTATTTCATAAAAATGGTAGAATAATGTGTATAAAAATTTACTTATTTAATATTACTTTAATACCAGACTTCAACAACCTGGCATAAGCTGGAATATCTGAGGCTGGATTCTCAATGGAGAATTACCTCTCACGATATCAGATAGTCAACAAATCTGCTTATGGTCTTGACTGATTAATATAAAAAAAATAAAAAAATTTAATATTACGTATTTTGTTGTAAATTTTTATCACCTGCAAAGTGGTGTGCCTTGGGAGAGGCTTATGTTCAGCATAGGACTGCAGTGGGCTGATGATGATAATGACTGCTTACCATCAGGTGAGCTGTCAGTATGTTTACCATTCCAATTACATATAAAAAGTATAAAGTTATATGTAAACATTATTAAACTGGTTAAAGCCATGGGCGTGGTCACTAAATCGTTTCGCGAACAAGGAATAGCAGGCAATAAACGATGTCAGTTACTGCAAATGGTATACCATTGTATTTTGAACTTAAATATCTGAATCGGAAAGCCTTTTTCCATTTGATGTTGGTGGAATGCAATAAAGTTATCATAAACGGGGAGTGAAGATAAACACAAATGTAAGGAATAAAATTTATGTTCAGTACAGTTGGTTGCACTTTTGTAATTTGTTTTAATGTTATTAATGCGAAATTGTGTCTGTCTGTACAAAAGGTTAGGTTCAAACTCGATTTCCGTCACTCCAAAAACGATTGTGTGAACCTCTCCGAATGATCCCCCGTCAAATTCAAACTTTCGAACGTCAAAAACAAACGAAATTACGATGGCCTGAGCCGAGGTTCGAACCTCGAGCGGTGCCCTCAGACTAAAGTCGTATCTGTCAAGCGGGAGTCGCTCCATAAGTCCTTCCTTTGGTTTAGAGTGGTATCTGCACTCGCCCCCTATGATCCGGTGAAGACATAAAGGCCAGCTGCGGCCAATAGGTGATAGTGATATAGGTGAGTTAGATGCACCCAAGCAGACGATATTCTACAAACTCTATATCTACCAGTATTTGTGTGAGTGAGTACAAAGTCTATATCTACCAGTATTTGTGTGACTTAGTACAAAGTCTATGTCTACCAGTATTTGTGTGAGTTAGTACAAAGTCTATATCCACCAGTATTTGTGTGAGTTAGTACAAAGTCTATATCTACCAGTGTTTGTGTGAGTTTGTACAAACTCTATATCTACCAGTATTTGTGCGAGTTAGTACTAAGTCTATATTTACCAGTATTTGTGCGAGTTAGTACTAAATTCATATCTACCAGTGTTTGTGTGAGTTTGTACAAACTCTATATCTACCAGTATTTGTGCGAGTTAGTACTAAGTCTATATTTACCAGTATTTGTGCGACATACTGTACAAATCCAAAATGTATGTATATTTTTAATTGCTCCCACTTGTACAGATTATAAATGGTGGTACGTAACGAGATGGAGGCGATATTTGCGTTTGCGCAGTGTTGGGATGCTGGATGAAGTATTGAGATATTAATGGGGCTGATCTGTCGATATAGGTAACCAGTTATTCACTCGCTGGTAACATTGGTTTATATGTATGAAAGTATTTAATAAAAGTTGAATAGATTTGAATATATTTTATTTATTAAATAGATATAGTTTAAATTTATTAATAACTAGCTGTACTCGCGTGGCAGTTAACTTTAATTTTCTAAAACAAAAGTAGCCTCAGTTACTCCTTATTACATCAACTACCTATCAAAAAAAGTCCTGTCAAAATCGGTCCAGCCATTTCAGAGATTAGTCGGAATAAACAGACAGACAGACTGACAAACAAAAATTGTAAAAAATGTAATTTTAATAATAATATCCTTTGGTGGTGCTCATGGGCGCCGGTAATCACTTACCATCAGGTGAGCCGCATGCTCGTTCGTTTCCTATAAGCTATAAAAAGCTATCTGTCTATCTTCATGTTACATCTTTTAAATGAGTTATTTTAAATATGTCTTTATTATATATAGTTATTGTTTTAATGAAAATTAAAGAAGGGAAAGAGGTTATTTCAGTAAATTAATATTTTTTCTCTCTCTGATAAATGTTTCTAAAAATAACACAATGTAAGTATACACCAACATTTCGCTTGCGACCCGCGAAAACAAGCAAGTTATCTTTGTAACGGAACACCAATAAAATCTGGCCACTTTGTGCCAACAAGGATCGGGTTCCCTTTGATATCCAACGCGACGTCTCCAATGGTACCAAAGTGACAGGTACGAAAACAAATATGGTCCGAAAATACTTAAATGAAATAACTTTATGTACTGAGTTACATAGTAGCTTTATTTTAAGGGCTGTAAATAAAAATATTGTACTGATAAATGGGCGATGTAACTTTGAACTGGCGTACAATTTACGGCAAAATTGTATATGTCTTTTATTTGTCTTATTAACATTAAACATTTAATAATTATTCCTACTTACAATAACTTTGTTCAGTTTGGGATATTCTAAATTCTAGATCCGTTCAGAGTTTGTACATCAGTCTTCCTCTCCTTTATACTAATATACCACAGAACATCTAAAGTCCGGCCGCTCAGAGTTTGCGTTTCGGACAGGTCGGGATAGAATGGGCGATGTAACTTTGAACTGGCGTACAATTTGCGGCAAAATTTTATATTCAAATTCAAATTCAAATTCAAAATATCTTTATTCATGTAGGTCTATTACAGACTCTTATGATATGTCAAATCTACCGTCAGTTCGGAATGATTTCGAGATGAGAAGAAATTTTTTTTAATGTTGTACATATTTACAATAATACTATTTCATTTAAATTCAAATTTGGGAGAATAGAGTGACCACCAGCATATGCTATATAAAAAAAAAAATCAAAAAAATCAAAAAATCTAATCAGTGTTCGCAACCTGAACAGACCAGTCCCCACAAGCAGCACCCGTACACGAGTATGACGGATGAGCCAGCCATCATTGCACTCAACCATATTAGAGGGAGCACATCGACCCGGCCCACCACGCCGCCACAAGTTTGAACTTTATAGCGAGCATGACTGTTTCAAGTTACTCCACTACGTCATTTATATTATTTACAGCATAAACTGTACCAATCACAGTTTTCACCCATTACAATATTTAATTTACATTATTTAAATTACAATATGTCATTACTAAATTTGTCTTTTATTTGTCTTATTAACATTAAACATTTAATAATTATTCCTACTTACAATAACTTTGTTCAGTTTGGGATATTCTAAATTCTAGATCCGTTCAGAGTTTGTACATCAGTCTTCCTCTCCTTCACAATTTGCGGCAAAATTTTATATATCTTTTATTTGTCTTATTAACGAGTGATAACATTATAAATTTAATAATTATTCCAATTTACAATAAACGTTTGTTTTTTTTGTTTGTAACACTTTATTGTGGAGTAAATACATTTAAGTTAACTAAGGATATGGTGATCTTAAAAAAAAAAGTTGTCCCAAGTGAGGGATTTCTTCCAGTCAGCCTTTGAATGACTGACGTATTAAGTATGGGCTATTATAAATTCTAGGTCCGCTCAGAGTTTGGACAGGTCGGGATCAAAAAATATTTTTATTTTTTTATAATCTGGCATTAAATAACACATACAACCCTAATTTTTCACCATTTTATCACCAACCCCTATTTTTTAATAATTATAATTTATGTAGTAAAACAATGTTTTCTTGGTAATAGAATATTAATATTATCTATTTATATTCTATTTTCAAAATTATATCTAGAATTCCAGAGCATTCTATCGATTATCTATAGGTTGGTATCGTTAGGTAGGCACATGTCATAAACTATGGCGGGAAAATGCATATAACTACCTAACCCGTGGGCGAACAGGAAATTATGCAAAGGTTAACATTTTCGGGTCACTCGACTCACGGAAATAGTTCATAATTTTGGCAACGCCACACATTTGATTTGAATTGTATGAATATGTATATAAGGTTGAAATTAACATGGATTGATGGTAGACAGGGGGGCTATCGGGTGATGCGTCGCCGTGTCGATTTGAATTCGCGGCCCACTTTCGCCGGGCATCCGTTTGAAAATGGAACGATCGCTCGTTAATATTCGCTAATACGATTTTCAGCAAGAGTACGGCTATACACGGCAAATACATCGGAAGATAAATCTGAAGATATTATATAAAATAAATCAATAGATATGTACATATCCTGTTTATATTCATAAAAACTAAATATGTAATATTTATCCTTTATTACGCTATATAAAATAAATGTCCAATTGGCGAGCTTAATGCCATATGGCATTCTCTACCAGCTAACGATTAACAGCTAACGGTATACAATTACTATTATATAGAAAACGGCATGATGTGTACCATTTTCTTCTAAATTAACAATTTTTTAAATGAATAAATAATACAAATAAAATGTTTTACTAACAATTAACTATGTGTAATTGAAAAACATTCAAACTGATTCTTTATTATGCATGCTACATATAAAAAAGCATACTTCAATTAATTATTTCACAACAATTAATTACAAACTGACAGTAAATGAAAGTCACGTGGTAGAAACTTTTTTTTTCACACATACAAATAAATGTACGTGTCCTGTAGAAAATATGTATTAAAGAAATACACAGTAATAAAACTTTCAAATTGACAACTTTGCACCCCGGACTAATGAGTTATTGTCAAAAATTCATTATTCAAAAACCCCCATGAGTCCACAGATGTGACAACGAAAAGCAACACAAAAACTACAGTACATTT